CAGCATCGCCTGCGAAATTATCGGGTTTTTTTTTTTTCCCTCTTGGATTTAAATGTGACTAAACCCAGTCTTTTGTTTCTTTTTTTCCCCCTGCATGAGCTGCAGGTGAAAATTAGCAGGCGTTAGCATGAGATAATGAGAATTAAATACGGTGAGACCCGTTTTGATAGTGCCACTTTCCATAACTGCCAGCTGGAAATATGCCTTTTTCAGGCAAAAAGATTTTCTTCAGGACTGTTCACAAGATTTTAGGCCACATATTTAACATGCCTAATTGTGCATTGGGAGATGACTTGATTCCCTCTGCTGCTGCATTTTTTAACAGCATCCAGTATTTAAGTTGTGAAACGCAATTTGCGCCAAGAAAGTGTTTCAAAAACTGTGATCTGCTTTACCCAGTTCAGTCGACACTGCCAGGAAGGGGCAAACGGAGCAGCTCTCCACAGCCCCTGCTCTGACAGCCAGAGGTAGACTTGGATTTCTGAGGCTGTGAAACACCCAAGAGGCGATCACGCTGTTTCTCCATTGGGAGAATAACATTTTCTGAGGGCCTGAGTTAGTAAAGCTGTGGTGGGTCACAAGCTTTTATTATTTGCATTTCTTTAAATCAGAGAATCAATACTTACTTTTGAAATGGGCACGGTTTAACATTTTATGTTACAATTCATCCTAATCCAGTTTGATGGTGTCTCCAAATCATTTCACCACTAGGAAAAAGGACAAAGGTATCTGGAAACGTCCCCATAGGAAAGAGACATGAATGACTTTACAAAAGCAACATTGTCCCTTCCAAGCCAGACACAATGCTGTTCTGTTCTGCAGATGGAGACATCCGCACATGCGGCCCGGGTACTCAGAGCACCGCACCGAGCGCCTGCTTGTGAAGAGCCTGAATAGCTCATTTGAGCCAGTGTTTACAGTTCTGCCCTTGCTTAAGTGCTCTCTGACTGGAGAGGGGTCACAGAGAGGTTTGTTGTGCAACTCTGAACCAGTTTTAGAAGAAGCAGAGGATATGTTTCACATCCTGGTATGATGGAAGGCCTAAAAACATACAAACCTGCATGAAACACCAGCAACTTTGCATAACTTATTGTTATAACATTCCCATTTAAAAATATTAGAAGGCCACTTCTTCTGGCTTGGGTATAATTATCTGGGATGTCAAGTGTAGAATGAGGAAGAGCACAATGGATCCAGGGGACACATCCCCAGCTCTCTTTGAGCGTAATGAAAGCAGAGAGCACTCTGCATCTTGCACTGCTGGTGAAAGATGTATGTTGCTTGTTATTAATACTTTGGTAATTGCACACCCAAGGGAACAGTGGTTTAAATGATTGTGAAAGCTGTCATCGAGTGGCCTGGTTATTTAAAAAGAAAAACACTGGTTTGCTTCTGTGCCTCCTGCATAGATTGTTATGTAGGAAAACATAGTTGTATTTCTGGTTTTTAACTTGTCCTAGTAAACAGTGGTTTACTGGCTTCCTCCTGCTGCATATGTGGGGCAATGGGGCAAGGTGTAACAGATAATATCCACTTCCAGAGAACAAATTAATTATTATGCTTTGTTATTTGTTCCATTTAATGAAACCCGTTGATAAAAAAACCCAAAACCAAACCAAACCACACCACTCCACCAAATACAGGGCCATTGGTAACATCTTTGAAGTAATTACATGTATGCATACCCATGTCCTGATTCTCTTGCTCAACTATGGTTTTTTTCCTTTAATGGAGCTATCTATCCTGACTATTTTCATTTGCAGTCACTAAATCTAGATTCTTATTTATGCCTTTACAATAACTCCATTAGTTTTACTGGGCTAATTTATGCCTTAAATTGATGCAAAAGAAGAATCAAATCTTTCTGTCCATCAAGATTTCATTCATAGTGAAGGACGTCAGAGAAGCAAACCAAATGACAGACTCATTACATGTGCCATGTTACCACAACAAAAAGACCTCACAAGCCTTGCAGCCACTTGGCAAAGCATATTTGCATTCCCCCTTGCTATTGTCAGCCTAGAAATGACACAGTGTATTACCAGATTCAGGGTAAATGTTTCATCAGATTACTATTGCAACTGCTAAAAACATTCTTCAACAAATTTGTGATTAGCCATATGGTTTTATCCATATTGTCTCTGCCACCGGAGGATACTGGGATTAGCAAATCCAGATTTGCATCACTGGTTTTCTCTTCAGGTTGACTACAAACGATGCTAATCAAATCCTGTGTAATACTGACCAAGTGAACACAGCACACTTTGTTTAAAAACTCATACCCAATACATATTTTTTGCAGTATACCTACATGAACATAAATAACACATTGGCTTTCTTAGACTGCAGAATGTTTTTATGATGAATATTCCCCTACCATGTCATCTCTGCCAGTAAGAATTAGCTCCTCAGAAGTCAAGTAACTCCCGTATGCAAACTCATGATCATCTGAAAACATAACACTATGAGTTCTACAGAAGAAATCCTGGAAACAAACTCTTAACAGGAGATCTATAATAATGATTAGACTTTTGATTCATTACCACCTTATAATTCCAGAAGTATCTGTGGAGATTTGTTAAATCCAAACTTTTTCAGATTAAAAGGAACAACCCCACAGCTGGTGTCCTTTGCCAACATCAGAAGTCAGTCTTCCATTCCAGTATTGGTTCCATATTACTTACAATAGTGGCATTCAGTTTCTTCTTTAGAAGATAAAGTTCTCTTAAATAGTAGTGGTAATATGCCTTGAAAACACTAAAGATGACTGGTTCTGCAGAGACACCTTACTGAAGTGTTTATTTCCATTTTATGGAACAGATAAACATTTCAATGCCCAAAACTGCATATTTTAACTCTATATCTGACCACAGCAACTTTTTTTACATTAAAAATAGCCTGAATATTCTTTATACTTACAAACTGCAAAGAGTTAAGCAGAGAAAGGGAAGTATAATTGTTTCAGAGCAAACAAGAACTGTGGATGATGTTGGTTCACTTCCTCCTCTGCCATAAACATCTTACATAATCACGAACAAGTCTCCAAAGCCCAGATTCTCATGTGATGGGGAGATAGTAAATGACATCATTGATTTCATTCTGCTTCCTACCTGTAAAACACAGTGAGCAGCAGAGACACTGTGAGAGAGAGTTTAGAAAACAGAGATACCAGAGTGGTGTAGTGATACGTACAGACCAGATGAACACCTAAACTGGATGGATGTATACCTAGTTTTCTCCATCAGTACAGATGCCTCCAACAGCAAAGGTAGCTAAAACAGGAAAATACAATTCAAAGAAAAAAAGCTCTCATTTAAAGAAAAATCAATGCCCCAAATCAGAAAACAAAAATACACTCAGGGGATTAGGAAACGCCATTCCTGTAACAAAAAACAGTCACCATACACTTGGCATTTGAACTCTATGTTCAAGTGTGCTTTTTCATTGTGACTATGAACTATAACTTTTATTAGGAAGCATCTGTTACAGAAAATGATAAACACAGGTCAGAACATGGATGCTCCTAAGCAGACAGTAAAGCACATGCTTAGCTATAGCAACAATAACTTGTAGTTGAAGCTACTTTGTAGTTCAGATGAGGTCTAAATTAGATCTTTCACCTAAACAATTTGTTGAACATCTGTATCTGAGTTCTGCTAGAAATATAGTGCTCTCATTCATATACATAGTTATTAACAGAGACTATTAGCAATATTAATAAAGACTACATTTCTGTTTATCTTTTACACAATGTAATCATCTAATTACATGAAATGTCATGTCAGATATTCTCCTCAAGCAAAACTTATTTAAATACAAAGTGCTTAAGATTGAATAGCACTAACGTATAATTGAATGCTACATAAAAACATATATTCTATTTCAAGTTACTTGGTTTTGACAACATAAAAGGAAAAATACACCATGAAATTATTGGCAAAGCAGTTTTTTTTATGTTCTAAATTAGAAAGTTGTAGCACCTCAATATAATACTTTGGTTATGGTGGAGTTTAAGAAATCAAGCACCAAGAGAATGCATTGCCATGAATTATTAGTATCATAGCAGATAGTTTAATGTGGGGTTTTCTGGCAGGAGACAAATTTAATCATAAGCTCCAGTCTTGAAACAGTCCATGAAAGTTGCATGACCTGCAGACATATGTGACTCATGCCATGCATCACCCTATAAATACAGTGTTTCATTTGTTCAGAAAGCTATATTCTACTAAAAGAAAACATTTCTTGTTACCTTCGTCTCCTATTCCCTGCCCCACAAGTTGTATACAACAGTAGCACTTAAAACTGATCTTTCTTCTTTTGGAATAGTTATGTACCAGTTGTGCATATAATTATTTGTAATTAAAGTTATTGCAATCTCTTATAAGAGATTATATACAGTTACTGAAGAGATTATATTTAGTCATTTCTTGTCATAAGATAAGGTTGTTCCTAAAGGATATTGTCCCACTTTCAGTAGAAGGTTGGCTGAGTCTGTGTAATAGGATAACCAGCATTTTACTCAGTCTCAGTCTTCAAATCTTTCTCTGGTATGAACATTCCATGCAGGTCCAGATGCATATCTATATCTACTTTGGCTCGGCCCAATTCTTTGAATGTTTTAGCATCCAAGACAAGTAGGAAGGGTGCTTCCTTTGGATCAGATGTCACAATACAGGTCAGAACAACGCCTGTGACATACAAATGAAGAATTAGGAGCACATATTAGTTACACCAAACAGAGAAGGTAACACTGTCAGGAAATGATTCTTGTTTCATAAGAATTTTAGGACACAAACTGAAAGTGCCTACTAGATCAGAAGTCTGCTGAGAGTGCTAAAGAACTAATGAGTGCTTTTCTTCTGTGCTTTTTTCCGGTCTGCCTGCAGTTCATTGGGAAGGAAAAAAGCAAACAAACACTGCATCGCGTGCCTGGCAGTTTTGGGACTCATCCTGTCAGTTATTTGCCATTTGCCTTTGCAAGGAGTCATCTGAGAACAGAACTGGATGGATATTACAGGGATATTTGCAGTGCCACTTCATGTTCTCATCTGTAACAACACTGACTTCCCACAGCTTCCACTGCCCCAAACTATTGACAAATCCAGCTCCGAGTGGCTCTATGAAAAGTCCTAAGCATTGGTTTTATTGTTTATGGCTACCTTGGGACCTTAAACAAGCTGATTTTGGTCTATTGTTGCTTGGGTTTTTTGTCTGCAGGAGTAAAATGGCTGGTGCTGGTTTTAATCTCACAGTGGAAGCATCAACCCAGCTTTCTTGACTAAGAACAATAAAACTTGTAAGATTTAATGCAAAATTCATGTAACCCCAGCTTTCAGAATGTTGTCGTTATTTTACCGTCATCTTCTTCTTTTGCATCAGGGCTGGGAACGAAAATGGGCTCAGATGGCCAGCAGTGGTCCTCTTCCCAGTGGAGCATTTCCTTTGTCTGGATATTAAATTTTGCAATCTAAATTGTTGTGACCAGAAAACAAAAATGTCAGTGACCCAGACAATGTTTTATTCCAAAGGTACCACATGAACAGACTGCTGGCATGGGGGACCAATGCTAACAGTTAAGGAGCAACAAGGCATGTGTCATCACAAGAAGGAAATATGTTGGAAAATGCTAAACTTTGGAGGCACACTTAGGTGCTGCGTAATCACACAATTTTTAATTTCATTTCATTAGATTACAATTCCACCTCTCATTTATGGGCTTTAAGTATTTTGCAAATGCTAACAGATCAAGAGAGAACCTTCACTATAAATAATGCCCTCACTATACAGAGGAAGAGTCCAAGGCCCAGAGCATTTAAGTGACTTGCACTAATCACTGCGTTTCTGTAGTAAAGCAGGAAACAGGATTTAAACCTTCCGTTTTCTAATCCTGTGAATTATTTTCCTTTTATTGTGACCTCAATATTTTTCAAGGCCTTCTATTGTTAAGTAGGGTATATATGCCAGAACAAAGGCTATTAATAGTGATGTGTAAAGATTAAACCAATGAGGCGAGAATTCCACACAGATACTGGCATTTACTGAAGGAACAGAGTACAGATTTTCATTTCATTAATCGGTCAAGTGCCTGACCAAACCAATCGCCTGTGGGGATGCATGGCATTTTCAGTTCAATTCTATTAAGGCCTTTTCTCTACCTGTACAGATGCAGTTACATTCTTTTCCCTTTTAACCTTTAGTCAAAAAATATGTTTTCACAACAATGAAAATATTCAAATTACTGGAGGAAGAATTTGGACGAATTCTCCCTTCTAACCAAGATGACAGCAATTTTGCTGACGGACTTTACCTAAGGATTATACATGGCTGTTGTGCCTGCATTCATTAAAGAGCAACTGATGTGAAAAAAAAATTGTCTAACAGCATTTTTTATTATATTTAAGTCAAGCAGGCATTATCTACACTGGAAATCACAAACTTGCAGATCTGTTTGAGCTACTGTCATATGTGCTGCAATAAATTTTCTTGCATCATGCAGAAATCCAGCTTTATTTTGTAATCAATTGTGGTAATTATATACAAGAACCAACAATGAACTCACTCAATTTGTGCCGCCGTATTGTCCCAGAACAAGAATTATAAAGAGTGACTTTGTCTGTACAATACTCTTATTTTCCACTATTAATACTTTTCATCTAAACTATTTGAACTCCAGGCTGTCTCCTGAAGAGTTGGCATCATGCATACACAAAGCATGTGCTACCCTCTAATAACTAGCTACAAAAAAGATAAAGCTTTCTGAAAAATTAGGTATTGTTTTAATATATTTTAATATATCTGTTGCAATAACTTTTTTTTTTAGTTAGGTTTCCTAAAGGGAAAAAATATTACAGATGTATTTCTGTCTAGTACTTCTTTTTCCTACTCTCTCCTTGGTAGCTCTTGGCACATTACAGAAGTCCTGGCCTCAAAACCACACACTTTGAATTTGCACGTATGAATGCAAATTAGGCTATATTTTGGGCCAAACTAGTAAAGCGTGGTCTATTTATAACTGCTTAACTTTGATTTGTGTTCTATAAATACAATTTCTGACTTTGTAAGTGTTAATTGTACCTTTGTAGGAACTGGTCTCCACTGAACTTCCGTTGCAAAGACATACTTGTACTTCTTGCCATTATAGTCGTAGTTGATGCGAGGCAGTTCTATCCCTGGATAAAATAAAGTTTAAGACTCAGGAACAAGACAAGAAAATAACTGAAATGTACATTTATATATGCCAATCTTCAGGAAGTTTTGCCCTGTGAAAAACCTTGGTAGTATTTAAAACAGGTGTTGCATAGATTTTGTATGTCTGAATTTCTAAAAACCTGAAGATTGATATTAACAGAACATAATTAAGCCAGGGTTGTTAGTTCAAAAATGACAATTTTTCATTCTTAGGGATTCGTTATACTGGAACTTCGGGGGGGGTGGTGTTTGCTTTTTGGTTTTTTTCTTCTTCATAAATACATGAGATGTGAACATCTGAGATATAATTGGAGGCTACCATTCAAAGAAATTACTTTCACTTTAGGTAAATATATACTCTTTACATATTCCTGTTATTATCCCCTGAAAAAAAGTTTTCAAATCCACTTTCAAAGGCAATCCTTATAAAATACAGTAACAACTGAAGTTACTATTTATAACAGACCCATTTAACTAAAATTACTGTTCTAATAGGTAGATTTTCAAGCCATATTAATAGTTGTAAGAAAGATCAGACTTGGGATCCTATATTAATATAAAACTGATGTAACTTCAGATATTTCGAGGATTTCACTCCTGATTGATAAATATAATTCTGAGAGGTTTGGGGTAATATATTGCCGGATAGACCCAGAGAAGGGAAGTACTGAAGATGAAGATATTGTCAATATCTACACTAAACATATTGATTAAAAGTTTAGTTTCTCTTAGATTTATAAAGATCTTACATATATGAACAGCTATTAGGCGTTATTAGAATGCACCTATGTGTATGTAAGAGAACATATTTGAGATTTGTATAAATGTCTCACCTTCACATAGTATTTCAGGTTGGCAATAGATGCTGCCATCTTTCTCTTTTACAGCAGTTGCGGTAGATGGAATTGTGACTAAATTAGAATCTACTTCAGCATCCTGAAAGAGACATATGCTGAAAAATAATGTGTCTCTAAGAATATGCTTCTAATTTAGATCTTTCATCAGGTTTGATATTATTATAGACAATTTTGGGATTAAACAAATAAACCACCTTCAGAAAGTTCCTTCTTATGGCGTTTATCTTGTAACATTAGATTCTGACCTTTTCATTAGAAATCTTGTTACACTCAGAGGATTTTAATATATTATAGAGTAATCATTTTGAATCACACCAAGCCTCTAGAAAGGTTTAGATAGACATGGCTATGTTCCAGAAGCACAATAGATGGATTACATAATTTGTGAATTTAATTAATGACGATGGTTTCAAGGAATTATGTATCAAATTCCCACTAAAAGTCACCAAGTTTAGATTTTTTGCACCTGCTATAAATCAAGTGCAAAAATAGGCGTAATGCACTGTTGTTTTTAATATGCTATTGCTAACTTCTTAAGATTGCAGGATAATTTGGCTAGCTGGTGTGATCCAACACATCCTTTGTCATTGCTGCACAACTGTTTTTGAGACCTGAACAAAGCAACAATATTCTAGGATGTAGAAAGAAAAAGTATTATCCATTCCAAATGTGTCAGGCAGAAACTTGCCCAAGTTGCTGGGCACTATAAAATCTTCCCGGCAAACAATGATGTAAAATGATGTTTTAAATTAAACTGAAAGATAAAATCTTTCCTCTTCCTGGCAAATCTCACACTTAAATGAAATCTTCTAATCTTAGTAAAACCATTGCAACAGTTGGGAGTGTGCGTATATTATATATAGGCTTCCAGTAAAGTGGAAGAAACAAAATCTCATGCATGCCCTTCCAGTCAACAGCCAAGTTAATATATCTGCTTGTATTTGATAGCATCTTACAAATAATCTCACTGGTAAGGCAATTATGTATGCTCAGGAGCCCTGTTCTCTGTAATGGATGGTACCAGAACCTAGATCCACGTAACTGTATGTCCAGCTGCTCATTGCCATTTCTTACAATACATATACAAATCAAAACTCCTGCACACTTTGTGTATTTTTTTTTTTTTAAAGAATCAGAAATTTGCACATAAGGGCTGGCAACTCATAATTCACACATTATTCACACTGATGTATTTTAAATTACTGATCAAAGAATAGATTAAAAAGCCATTTTCTTTCTACCTTGTCATACTGCAGAGGAACAACAAATCGTTTGCAGGTTGGTATGGAGGTAAGCTTGGTATTTTCTTCAAAGTCTTTATTCAGGTTTTTTAAATAGAACATATCATATAAGCTATTGTCTGTATAGGCAATAATATCAAAAATAATGTGGCCATCCTCTTCATAAGCATTTATATGGTGAAAAAGCACCATAGCATCAGTATAAAACTTGGTGGATACTTCTTTTTTAGTCTTCTTGTCTACAAAGTGAAACCAAGTCTGAAAGATAGGAAACATTTAAAACCGTTAATGATCAGCAAATAGTTATTTAGGAAACTGTTTTCTAATGGTAGCCATCAACATTCTGATGTATTGTCTATTTCTGCTGCAGCATATTAAGAACTTGGGATTTGCTGCTAGGAGACAAGAGGTTCCAACCTGAAGACCAAAAAATGCAGGAGTAAAATAAGTGTGGAAGTGTTTTAAACTCATTTTACTATTTAGGCTAGGCCAAGGATTAAGGTTTTCTGGTAAAACATGGAAAATCGTGTGCTTTATTTTTAAGTTAAATAAATCTGCCTTAGTCTCTGTAGTGCTCTATGCTGGTGCTCTCTACCCTAGCATGTCCCACATACTGATGGCCAGAGCACGTAGAAATAAAGTCCTCAGAACACAGGTTTTTTCCTCAGTTGCCACAGTGAAAGACTCTCCTTTTGTTAGATGCAGGCTTTTCCTCCAGTGTGGCTCTCCTATCTGATGCAACGGATCTAGAGCAGATCTCATCCACAATATGCAATATTTTGTTTGGACCAGGAGCAACTGTATGTGTCTGGAATGCTAGTGCGGTTTTGAATTTCTCTGCTAGCACACAATATTTCTAACAATGCCAAACTATCTTCTTTCTCAAGCGCTTCAGCATCAGATATTTATTTGTGAAATTTCTGGAGATGGGAGATAGTATTAAAAAAATACAGCTTCTAAAAAAATGTGCAACATGAAAGTCAAGGGTTGGAAAAAAATGAGGGATTTCTGAAATTAAGGAACCAGATGAAAACTAGAACAGTGTGGAAGACGTCACTGGCCTGGCTGACTCCATTGCTCAGCATTAGGAAAAATACCTTATCTTCCTTATGGTAGGCAAGGCAGGAAGCCCAGTTCACTCCTCGGATATAAGCAGTTGCCATTTTGACAATATCCAGTTTGAATGGCTGCTCTATGAAGACAATGTAATTTTCTGTGATTCCAAAGCTATGGTAGTAGCTTGGGTGGAGCAGAGAGCGAGAAGGGATGGAGCATACCACTTCCAGATGTTTAAAACAAGATTTCTTCTTTTCTTTTTCTGAACATAAATAATAAAAAAAAAATTATAATAAATTTCAGTACAATCTTGTGCTTGGATTTCTCCCATGTATGAAGTAGGAAATAACAGGTTCCTCTCCATTTTATTTGCATTTTCCTGTTAACAAAGTGGTTTGTTTCCTCCTGCAGAATTAACATAAAAGTTTGCATCTGAGTGAAGCAACGCAGTAATATCAAAATGCTGGATCCTTTTAGATAGAGCCCCCTCATCTTAGTATTTGATTCCGCTAGTTACTGTCTTCAGAAGTTCCAGCAGAGAGCAGAAAGATGTTCAATTAAATTGGCAGCTTTACAAGGGGGTTCAAATGCCCCCATGTTTTTGAACTTCTAAGGAGATGTTCCTGTTTGTTCTATACTGACTTTGAGCCCCAACTAGAAATTACAAACTTACCTTTCAGCTGTGGACAGCCCCTTGATCAACCAAGAGGACAGGCATCACATTAGCAGCTAATTTTAAACAACACCACACACGCCAAAAAGATTGTCTTGAAGGAAAAAGAGCAAGTGATTTTCTCTGTGAACACAGGACACGATTTCAGCAAGGTCTAGTGTAGGCCAGGATAGAAAGGAATTAACTCTGCATTAGGTATTATTTGGTATTCTGCTTCCCTATAATAACAGTATCACCATTTTAAGAGCATTTTCATTTATACAGAAAATTAAAATATACAACTTCAAATTATATATACCGCCCTATAGATAAAATTGTCTCTCTTCATCCTCCCTCTACACATCTCAATAGAGGGAATGGAAATTATTCTAAAAGAGTTAGTTCACTCTAGTAATATTCAAAGTAGAATTCTTCTAAAAGCAAATTCTTCTAAATGCAAGGTTCTTCATACTGAAATACCCTGTTTACACAGGGTATTCAAGATGAACCTTTGTAATAGCACATGCCCAGACAAGCTAAGCAGTTAACATTAAGTTCACAATAAGATAAAATTAAGAAAATGAATGCCATCGGTTTCTAGAAGAGCTGTATCACCACCCCTTAACCTCAAAAGAAAAGAAATTGCTGACAAGTTTCTAGAAAATACTGGTAAAAGACATATCTTACCTGGCACAGAGGGAGGAATCTTGAATAGAATGTATTTTGTCTTCCCTTTATCAACTATTGAAGTACCCATGTTGAGAGTATTACCAGCACTGTCATAGTGTGGGTGAGAAGTTGCCACATTTACAGCTACGTATTTGGTGTAATCAACCTGGAAAATGATACAGTAGGAGATTTTAGAGATGTGTAAGAGAAAACCGATCTTGGCTAACACCACAAATCCATCAGCTTTTTAGCAATGGCAGCCTTTTATTGGCACCCCATTTTCAAAAGGCCTTGAAATTTAAACAGTTAAGCCAAATGATTTATGTGGGTACTCAAATGATTTTCTAATTCAAGGCTAAAGCAAATTACAGAATCTGAATTGCATTTGCCTCCCTTGCAGCCACATAACACAACAGGAGGATCGGGTAAATAAGTTACTCCGCAAATGCCCATTTGATCCTGAAAGCAGTTTATTTAATAGGGCTATGAGTCTAGCAATCTTCTGGAGAAAAAGAGTTCAGTTTGTTTTAAAGCTTGGAAATGGTACTCAAAATGTACTGCATGCTAGGAAAAAATCATTGTATATTTCAATATGGCAAGATTTTGTTTTAACAATTAAGTAATATCTTGCATAAGGTACTTGAAAATTAGTCATATAACTGACCTATTGAACTATTAATTATGTAAATCACTTGATAACTACAGATGCATAATAATGGAAATAATCTAAAATACTTATGTCATAAGCATGCTATGTGGTATTATTCCTGCAACCTTGCTAGATTATGTACAAGTGAAATTGCTCAAAGCCCAGCTTTTCCCAAACTACCTGGGACTTAATTTTGAACTCATGAGTTCTTAAAAGGTCTAGTATCTTCACTATTTCTCTTTACCATGATTTCAAGAGTAAGGGAATAGTAGAAGAAGAAAAATATCTTTCCAGTTTTGTGTCCTGCACATGTTAAAGGATCCTTACGAGTCAGCCTGAAACTTTATTCATTAACAGATGAGGAACCAGAATGACAGACAGTCGTTTATACCTTCTCTAGTGTCTCCAGAGTCAGTGGGTTAATTTTCCTGATGAAGTTAGTCTCACTGGTGGCATAAAAATCATCCCCAGTTTTCATAATGTTGATCAGGCAGTTGTCTGTGAACTCAGGAATGGTGTGAGACAAATATGAGAATGCCCTGTACAGAGGGAAATTCCGTATGGGTTCATTAGTGCAGCAGAAGCTCTATTAGCTTTTACCCCGCGCAAAGCAGAAGTCAGTAGAGCAGTGCCGGCTGTGTGGAGCTGCGTCTGTCTTTTCCCTCTGTGCCCTCTTCTGGTGGCTCCTGCACTGCCAGGGTGGAAAAGGTGGAAAATCAGAGAAGAGACGCTTCTTCAATGCCCTTGGCCTGGGCAAGGGTTAAGGACATGCATGCAGCTGGTTTTCTATGCACAAATGGGCATCCAAGTCCAGTCCTGCTGTCAGCTGTAACATATGCACTGGTTTATTAGGATGTGCTAATTACACACTCTCCTCTGCATGCCATGTGAGAATTTGGCCTAACAGTTTCTACCTAAAAGCTGGTAGATTTTTCAGGGTATGCCTTCATAAAATAGATTCATATACTCCCTGAGGGAATATTTTTGTTCCCGGTGTTATGCCATATCACAATTATGATTTCAAAGAAGATCTAACTTCACATGTGGGCTTGACAGTTTTCCATCTTAGTGTAGGATTTCATCATATTTACTTGAAACCAAGACAAAGTTGCGGATATCCCTTTTGAACTTAAAATGCCAGCGTTACCCTATTACTGCTGGAAGAGGGAAGAAAAGCATCTTATTTCAGGGTAACAAGTTACAACATATCAACTGTTTTGCAATAACTATCCATGCATGTGCTCTTACCAAATATAAAATTCAAGGTCATCAGATGTAGTTCACACAGGAAGAAGAGATGGGTAAGCTACTTGCATTTGTCAGGGAATATCCACAGGCAATTTTACAAGATAGGTGATAACATGATGGCTTACACCTTGCCTCTCCTATACAGCCTGTCATACTTTCTAACAGCATGAAAGCAGCTATCGCAGTGATCCCAAGTGGTTCTGATTTTGAACATAAGATTAGCTCAGGCCTATGGCTGCAGTCCTTCAAAGCACTGCACATGACTCAGGAAACAATTGAAATTTTTCATCACTTTCTTTTTTTTTATAAAAATGGTCTTTAATCCCGAAGTTTATCTGACTTTTTTTCCATTATTGATGCTTTTTTTTCTTTTTGTTGAACAAACTTCACATAAATTCCTTCCCCATCTCTTAATCTTTTCCTTTCTTGCTGCTTCTCCCCCTAGAGAATATGGTTTTTATAAATTTCTGTGAAACACTTGAAAAAGAAAATATTTGTTTTTTCAAAATTACAACAAAATCTACTTGCAATAGTGAATAAACCAGCCAATATTGCTGATAAAATTAATTTAAAATATTTGCCTTAGAATAACCCATAGAGTGTATGGTGCTGGATGTATCTCTTGGCCTTGTCAGTATTTGGAAACTGTAAATTTACAAAACAAATTTCCTATTTGTAAATACGTGTCAAGAGTAAACAGAAAGACATCTGTGCTGGAGAGAGAAGTAGATGATAGAAGAATCTTACTGGAAAACGCACTGCTTACTTGGCAAATATGTTTTTGCATGGATCTGGATAAGCCATAGTTCCAAACTCAGACAGCACGATTCGGTTTGCTTCTACATTGCAGTTGTATGTGTCACTTCGGAGATACTTACTTCTGTAGTAAACTTCACCTGACAAAGGCCAAACAGGTTTCAATTTCATACTGAGTTCTTTAGAAAATTAGCATAGGCAAAGTCAGAAAGAGTTTCTCAAGTAGATGTCCTTGAGCTAAGAAAAGTTTGCAATGAAACTGCCAATACCCCTAAATCCCTGCCTTGAAGGCTTTTTCAGCTCCCTAAGGAACCCAGGACTCTTCTTGTGGCTGCTGAGATTGGTAACAATTTGTCTAGCTTCCTTGACTCCCAACACGTTTGGACAATACTGGGGGACTGGCGAGAGGAAAGGAGGGATTTGGTAAACTCTTCCAGTAAACCAAAACAATCTGTGTAAAAACGATCAATTATGCATCAATGTGTGGGTGGTGATAAATCTCTTGTATTGGTAAAATTTACTTATGAGAGGGTAACAAATTGCTTGAAACAATCAATGTCTATCCTACCCAATTTAATGGACCATTATACTTGAACTAGCTAAGCTCTGTTTGCTTTAGGTAAGTAAAATACACTGGCAATTTAAAAAACACTGGTCACTTCTTTATAGGTTATTTTGTTAAGGATGTAGAGCTGGACAGGCAAGGAGATCATGCAGTTGCATTAAATGCCTCCAATCACAGAAATGGAAACTAAAAAGTGAACACTAGGAATGGAGGGTGACAGGAGTAAACCCCAGGTTTTTTACAGATACATTATTTTTGCAGCAAGAATCTAGGTGTAAAACATCCTGCCTCACACTGTAAAACAGCTGAATTGGTAAAAAAAGCTTTAACTGAAACAAAAAATGAAATTGTTTTGGATAGACGAGCTGCCTGTTTTCCCTCCATAAGAATGACAAGTAGGAGGACTGCTTGTAGGGGTGTCAAGTATACATAAGTGAGGTTTGATGTGTGAAGTGACACAGTGGCCCAGTTTCTCTCCTGGCAGCTGTTATAGCTGCAACCAAATCCCAAAAGGGGAATGTTAGTCTTCCCTGAAACTAGGTTGTTCATCCACAACAGAAAAATCTCCGGATATTACAGTACTTTTGGTTGATCCAGTTTGAAACAATAGAGGTTTTCTTGCTCTGGGTGGAAGGCAAGGGCTGCCCTGCGGTGACCCGCTCAGAGCTGGTTGCAGGCTATCGAGCAGTGCAGACAATATTGAACTTTGGCACTCCCGAAAAAAAGACAACATAATCTATCTCTGATAACAGCCCTGCGGAGATACTCCTGCTGCTGCGGTGGAGAGTGAGGGGTCGGTGTATGTTTGGAGAGACTTTCCCCACAGCAGTTACCACCTCACCACACATGCCACTCTGCAGAGGAAACCTGCAATTTTCTAACACTAATCAAACAGAATTAGCAACATAAGGCACCCGGATTTGGGTTGTTGAACTTTTGTTAATGATGTGATGTGCAACAACTTACCATTTTTAAATGTAAAGCTATGCAGCAGAGCCAAGCCATCAAACCAGTGGTTATACTTAGTGTCCCCTATTGTGTGCATGCCTGGGCCATTTCGGAGAAGTATCCCTTGCAACCAAGTGGGGAACTGACCTATAAACAAAAAGGAGATATCAATATCCGTTCATTTAGGTGAGGGGCACGTTACAGAACAATTTTCCTTAGGGCATAGACTTCATATAGGCAGACACAATATGGGTGTAATTCAAGATTTGAAATAGCATATAATTATGATGGAGTTTTGGTTAATGAAAATATGACTTGCTTAAAAATGTGGCACTAGTAATATTTTGCATGAATGTTGCTATATGAGATTACTATAAAAAGATGAGATTGCTGGAATGTAATTTGCTAAATATCAGGAATTAAATAAAGTTGGACCTTTCTTTCCTGCACTCAGATTTTAAAGTGATACATTTAAAGCCTTTTACTCATGCCAGGAAAAGCTAGAGTTTATCAGAAATAAACATATTTTATAGGTTACATGACTTTCATTGGCCTTCAGTACATCAATTTAAACTTCAGGCTAAATGAATTCCAGTAAAAAGTTCATTAATTAAATTACACACCATAATGTAGTGTCATTTTGGGAGTGCTGTTGTGACACTAGTTAGAATGTTGGTGTTTTGAACACAAATAAAGGGTAGGAATATTATACTGAAAATATATAAGTACTGTTGAGGTTTGAATATGAAATGTTCCTCATTAAATCCCTGCAAGAAATACATTACCTACCATTTGACACACAGAATAACAACAATTAAAGAATGTCATTAGGGTTAAGGAGCTGAACCAAAGCCTATCAGATATTAAATTAAAAGCTTCACTTGCTTCTGTATGTGTATGCCTCCTGAGGGAATATTTAAGATCACAACCTACTTGTCCACACAATTCCTGCACTGAACATCGTCCCTGCATAAAAAGCTATTCAGAACTTTTAGTTCTCCTTATCATTTAGTTTGTGACCTCATGTCAAATACTTTGACACACTTTCTTATTAATACTCCCTGTACAACAGATAGAAATGTCCTCCCATGGATATATTCAATTTTGTCAAAGCTGATGCAGTTGCAGAGAGGTAACAATTGTCCTGCTGTAAGACTTTCTGAGATCCTAAAGGGACTTGGGTCACTTTCTAAGAGAAGATTTCCCGAATTTTGACCTTTTTAGGTAAGAAAGAGAGACAAGGACATTTGCCATTTCTTCAAACAAGTGACGTTAAGGACGCAAGGAAAAACCATTCAAATGCAAAGGAGGAATGTGGAATAAATGTCAACTTTACCTAAAATACATTCTCAGTCAGGCTAACCAACTAATGTTGTATGCCACAATATACTCACACAACTTCATTAGGGTTAGAGTTCTGGAATACATAGGGAAGACAAATTCTTGACACAATGGATGGACTTTATTACTACTAGTAGTAGTACTACTACTACTATTACTACAACAACATTCTAGAAGAGCCTTGAAAACCAAACCTTACTTGCCTTTCTACTACAAGAAGTTCTAGTGCAATAATTATGGTACTTTTGTGTGTAAGATGAACGAGGTTTAACCTTTAATACAGGTAATTACACAAAACATGAATAACTAAAAATAGTTGATAAGAAGACAGTGAGGAAATCACAAGTTAGCAGAAGACAAGAATCCTTCAGAGAGAATAGGATTATGATCATAAGAAAGTATATATTCAAAATAGATACATAATTTTTGTTTGGCTGACTACTGAACTTTAATTGCCGAACAACTTTAATCTGCTCATATGCCTAAAACGAAAGTGTTTCTCTTCTTGCCACTTCCCTTTCTACAGTTTTCTGATATGTGGCAATAGAACATTGTAACTCTGCTATTTCTCCAGTACCATGGGCAACTGCAGTGTAGTGAGCGTGGTCTTTTGAGCTCTTGCCCTCCTACCAATGCTATTTATGACTGTAAATCTATGCAATGAGCATGAGCAGCTGGTCATGCCCCAACATACATTTTGCTAACACTGAGTAACTTGCTGCAGCCAGCCCTCCTTTCCTTGCAGTGAAAACGTAATGCTTCTGCTGTATATGACATCTTGTGGGATTTTGACCCTGTAAAACTATCTTCTGCTTTGGGGCCCATCGTTCAAGAAAAGCAGGTATTTCTGCAATTCAGTGAATATCTTGCAGCTCCTAGGGCTAAAAAAAAAAAAAAAAATACATTTAGAGATTATTCCCCTATGTCAGAATAATAATGTTCAAAAAGTTCCAGGACAGGCCAAAAAATAATTTTGCTGGAAGAGATAAACAGGGAAAAAAAGGAGATGTTCTTTTTAAGGCACTGTGGACTTGATGCAGCTTCTGAAACTTCTGGTGTAAATCAGTGTAATTTCTGGCATAATTCCAGTATGAAAAGCAGGGACAAAAGGGTCATCTGGTGAGGTTTTCAGATGAAAATTCATCTTCGTGGAAATTAAGAATTTTTGTAAATCACACTGGGTACCAATCAGCATCCTAAAGTGCTTAAATAGCTTTAAAAACCCAGACCTTGTATCTTTTTTGCTTCAAACTTTTATCTGAAGTGGAAATAATGATACTTTTCTGTACCACGTGAGGACACAAGTGACAGTGTAAAATCTCCAAATATTTGGAAGTTTATTAACTATCATAGCAACGGAGTCTTATACAATCACATGGCTATACAGTGTTTAGGAGAGCATGGGTTAAATTACAGCTGACGTTAGAAGTATGGGGTCATATTTACAGTGTACATATTGAGTAACAAGGAGCCAAAATACTAGCAGAGCTCAGTGCCAGCAAAATATTTAAAGAGGTCAAGGTTCTCTGTTTTCATAATTGGTAAATACCGAATCATCATTACCAATGAAGGAATATTTTGTATACATGACTTTATTTACTGAAATGTGCAGTCTTTGTTCAAATAAACAATTATAACACATATAGATCAGGTCTGATAAATGGTTTGTTTGCAAACAACTTCAAATGTTTCAATAAAAAATTTTTATCATGAGTAAAAAAAAAAAAAAAGGCATAAATCTACCACAAATTATAACAAAGTACTTTGTCTGACTTGAAACAACATCTTTTCCAATTCAGCCACCAAACTAACAACTAACAACAACAACAAAGCCATGCAAGTTTTAATTGTCGTCTTTTTAAGTGTGGTACTTGGGAAGTGACTTTAAAATTGATATTAGATGTCTACCATTTCTTGGACTACTTATTACAAAAAATGCAGCATATATTTACTAAATAGGGGTTCTCAGCAGCAAACCTCTCCTGTAGCTATAGCAAAAAACTTCTGTAAAGTAAAAAAAAGCAGTTAAAATAATAGATTGATCATGCGTTCATCCCTAGAGAGGCACTTTATCTCTCCGAAGGATACTCTGTAGTTTTTACTGGATTGACTTCTGAATCGTCTTTTTAACGGTACACGGTGGCTTCCATTACTGCTGCTTTTCTATTTACAAATCCTATTGTTGAAGAGTCCCAGTTTTAGTGACCCTAAAAAGCAAGAAAGAGTGTGAGCAGACAGAGGAGGGGAGGGAAGGGTTACAGAGAGGAAAAACCGAAAGCTTGAGCAGAGCCATGGGGGAGGAGGGGTCAGCAGATTAAATCCCGACTTCGGCCCTCACCACCGACTTCAGTGAATTCTGTTCAAACAGACTTTTTGGAAAAGTACACAGAAATGCCCATAAAGTGAGAAAAAAATCCACAGTCGGGGCACAAATATTTCCTGAGCTCAGTCCTTTAAACAAAATTCACTTACATTTCTTGCTTTCTCAGTTTCCCTTTTCATTGTTGTCTTGGGTGAACAAGTGTTTCAGTGTTTACATATTTGAAAACACCAAAGTAACCGCATGTATTAGAACAGATTTTCTTTCACTTACCTTGCACCTCAGCTTTTATGGGCTCTGGATGTTCTTCTTTATTTCTACCAAATACTGAATCCATCTCTCATGTAATAACCAGTTTCTGTGTCCCGTACCCAGCTGCTCCTGCAGCCGTAGTCGTCCCCTCCGGTCTGGGCTAAGAACAGCTCTTTCCTGTTACATATAAAGATAAGGTCAAAGTGCAATGCGAGCTAGTGGCTGGTGGCTTATAGATTGACAATTTATAATAGCTGATCTTTAATCCCTAGCACATACACTATAATTCTTGCACATTCTTATTAAAATTAACTCTTTCACTGATTCAAAGGAGAAGTAAGAAAAATGTAACTTGCCTGTTTGCTCCTTATGAACCAATCTGAAGCAGCCAGGCACACCCAGAGAGTCAGGTAGAATGGCTCTGAAACATCACCTTCAGCATTTCTGGTAAAATTTTAGACACTGTGTAGGGAGGGCTTGCCCCATTTGGAAGGCAGGGAGAGAAAGAGAAAAGAAATCTCTAGCCACTGTTCTAAATTTAGCTCTTCGGGAGTGACAGACATTTCAGAGCAGGGTGTCATCCTCTTCTTTCCATTCTGTGGAATTTAAACTGGGCTATTCTCTTAATTAACAAAATATCACTGAAGAATCATGATGTGCTGTATTTCTTTATATACAAGCTGTTCCAGAGTGAACTGAGTGCCACATCTTTGAATTAAACATCTTTCACAAATAATCACTATAACATATTCTCCCATACGTGATCTGAATCTACTCTGTGAAAGTATGACAGGAACCATTAAAAATAAGGGGGATTTTTAACTTCATGCTTTTGTTTCTAGATAAGGTACTTAACTGAGTTCAATGTTGTTAATTTTAAAATCCTCTGGGAAAAGAATTATTTCAATATAAAGCATGTGACTGCAGAGCAAATCATAGGCTCCATTGAACGTGAAGGGTAAAAAGATTCTTTGCACAATTATATATTATGCAATTTCATATGAGGTTACCCTAGAATCTGGGGATTTTTTTTCAGCGAAATCACCATTGTTCCCAAAATGTTATAACATCACTTCTTCGGGCTGACTGATCTTTTAGAAATATACATATTTATTTTATTTAAAACACAATTTGTGCTACACTTGACTACTCTGACACACTTGTTACACACATACATTGCTCCTCTCTTCCTAACCTATTGTCTGTTTGATGGCCTGTCTTCATTTCAGGAGATCAGCAAGACAGCCTGCCTTTGTCTCTGTTTGGAAAGTACTGACAGAAACAGGTGATAACAAATAAAAAGCCAGATTAAAAAAAAATAATATATGAGCTTTGTTGGAGTCAGTAGTATTAGTAAAGAAACAGCATGATTGAACCAGAAGGCTGTAGGAGATGAAGAGTATCAAAGTCCACATACATAAACATATGCAGATATATACACATAAACACACATGCACACACACTATATGCGCGTATATGTATATACATATATATGTGAGAGAGTGTGTGTGTGTGTATGTACTGAGATGTGCTCTCACTTGTATACACAAAGCCAAGTGAGGGATTTTTCAGCCATGTTAGAGACTGAAAAGGATCTAGCAAAAAACCAAAGCCACTTAACTCTACTTCCACTAAGCCATGGGGACGTTTTCTCTGGCCATGATGTTCTGCTTTGCTGTAACATGTTTTCTTCAGCCTATCCTCATCCATTTACACGGCCACAGCTCTTAATGCTGCAGTTTTAATTGTCTGACCTGAGTGGTCTGATCTGCGGGAGTGAGAGATTTCCACAGAGTAAGCAAGCAATAAAAAAGATTAATTTGAACCACTTTTGCCCTTCTTCACCATGACTGTTGATCTAGTGTAAGATTCAGTCAGGACGAGATAACTGGAAACCTTGTTAAAAGTTGTCTGAATGGAAGAACAAGGAGCTGTAGATATCCAGCAACTTTTGAAATCAACACAAATGTGTTTTGGTAGGTAATTTCAGGTGTCTGTGCCTGAAAGTTTTGTCCCATATATTTATACAACTTAAATAAGGAAGCCTTGCAAAGGGCATTTTTCCCACTTGTCAGTGAAAAATACTTTATTTAGCAGTAAATTGCTTTTTTTGTTGTTTTCATCATAAGCAGTTAGTAAGGTATGGTGAGATGAATTTTCTTTCTAACTGTATCATTTCCCCCATTTTACATTGAAATGGAGAAATATCAACCTGTGGATTTATAATATGCAATTATCAGGGGAAGTAGATGTGGATTAGGTGACTTGTCTAATATTATTTTTTCACAATATTTCTTCTCCCTTCGTAGAAACACATTTGATGGGAGAGAATGGAGAAGGTTACAGAACTCCATGTTCTAGAGAACACAGACGAAAACCAACTCTCTCTGCAGAGACTACCTGCAGCTCTTTGATCTTGGGTTTACCAGACACATTGTAACTCATATATATAATGTTTACCAAAACTTTATAAACTCAGGGAGATTGTGTCTCTTACTCTTCCCAGTAAGGAACATATAAAACATAAGCCTTAATGCAAATGACCCAATCCCATGGTCTGAATAGCCCCTCCTGACACTTGACCTTATTTACAAGTGCCATCCAGTTGCAGAATCCTTCAAATATCTTCCCCCAACCAAATCTAGCATTTCTCCCCAGAGTTTCCTCTCTCTATTCACCCTTCATGAGATTTTTGAAGTTACCAGCTCCCCACCTCAGGCAGGTTTTCTTCACCGTATATTTTTTTCTGCTTTAAACAATTGCGGTGAAGGCTACAAGCTGTTTCCTCTTGGATTCTTTTTGCTTTCACTTCCCTCCAGTCTCTGAGTGCCTTGAGCTTCTCTCCCAAATTTAAAAAGGGCCATGAAGACATCTTTGGAGCAAAGCATTACCCTGCCCAGCATTGGTCTGGTCGTACCATGCAAGGCCAGGGATGACATTTAGGGTGTGATCTCTATGCTCAATGGAAACAAAATTTCCCAAGGCAGACGAGCTGCTTAACTAAGTTTCCAGTACAAACATCATTGCCATATGTGTACCTTTGTACTTTTGGTTCACTTACACAAGAAGCACATCATTGCCTTATAAATCAGAGAGAGACCAATATTATTCCTTATCTCTATATTGATATATATGTACTTAAATGACTTTAATCTCAACCTTTCTCTTATAAAATTTGAGTTCTAATTAAAGCCCATTAACAAAGGTCAAATTACCTGAACATGACTTTAAGCTGTGCTAAGAACTTCCAACTATCAACCGTTATCTATTATTACCAAATAAAGACTCCAATAGTAAAACTGATATGAACTTAAAAGCCGTTCTTGCTGAAATCACACTGATTGCTATCCCACTGTGCCAGGAGATCTAAACTCTAATCTTTGTTAAGTACTGTCTTCTGGACATGATCTCCTTTCAAAAGAAATACCACTAACACTATCTAGGGATATTTATCTTGCACTGTCCAACTATAATTGCAAACACAGACTACTACTACTATAGTTTGTTCACGTTTAAATAGCAATAGTTTCCATATATTATTCTGACCACGTTTTGTTTGGATCAAACCCCTTTCGATCAAATGCTGTTTTGATCGGTATTGTTTGGATCAAAATAACTGGTTTTGTGAGATTTTAATTTTCTTGATGAGATTTTAAATTTTTGTGAGATTTTTGTGAGATTTCAGTATTTTTTGTGATAAACAAAAATACTATTTTCTTTTACTACAGTCCTATTTTTAATAGGTATCACCAGAAATACTGTTCATTTAAATAAAAAGATAATGTAACTTAGTATTAAAACCCCTCAGGTGCTGAAGCACAGAACTCCTGGCCACCCATGCTAGTATCCAACCAGCCTGAGCTCACCCACTCATCATAATGCCCAATTATTTAAATGCCCAAACATTTAAACAGTAGACATTCAAACAAGTAAACTGCCACAGTACCTATATAAACTTCCTCACCATAAGACTTTTATAACCTTATCTGCACCTTTCAACATCCCAAGATGATTTACACGTTTTAATATTTAATATGTTATACAGTTCAGTAATGTGTTTTCAAGTGGGCAGAATGACAACATGAAGGTTGGCATTCACATTCATGATTGAGGTGTAGAAATGGTGTTACAGACATTTACAGTGACAGAAGTTAATGCTGCTACACATTGTCCTACCTTTTAGCCTGCTGTACCTTTTTGGGAGAACATAAATGAAACACTAAAAAGAACTTTTTTCTGGTTTTAGTCAGGTGGCATCTGAGTGTAGAGTGCTTAACACAAAAGCAGTGTTCCTGAACAGAGAGACTGCTGGAGCTCCAGTCTTCTCATTATGGGGATTGTGAAGCTGATCTCTTTTGTAAGGTGTTGGATATCTATTGATGAGAGACATTATTAATGAAAACAACTTGTAACACAGGTTTTTTTCTTTCTGTTTTCATGTCCTGTAAGCTCAGAAATAGCTCATAACAAGCAAAAGAAAAATATGTACAAAATTAAATAAAACAAACAAGAGGTGGAAGTGGGACTGCCTTAGAAATCTGGCCAGTCTTATCCTTATGGAAATCTGGAGTCACTGCAGAGACACCAGTGGAGTTGTGAGGGCTGTAGATTCAGACTCAAGCAATTTTGTTTCCCTCTCTGTGTGTGCTAGCATAAGTTCAGTCCATTTGTATCTATCGGTTAATGTTTTACCCAAAGTGGGTACCTTTAATCCTTAGAACAGTTCTCTTACTAAGATATTAAGGTAATGGCACATCTAAATTGTGCCAATTAGTCAGTCACGATCATAAGAATACGTGAGGTGTCAGCAGAAAGCTGCTACTTTCTGTGTGAATTCAAGGCTAACCTTCGCCATCAATAACCCTAGCTCAATTAAAGTTCTTATGGGGCACACTTACTCTCTTCTTCCCAATAGCTGAAGTTCTGCTGGGGAAGGCAATAAAACATAGGAACCAGCTGGGAAAGGGAGGGATTATTGGGACATCAACAGTATGGCAGGTGAGGAAAGTCAAGTTACAAGACCAAAGGCAATATGAGGTGCTTCTGAAGGGACAGTTCTTAGGAGAAGATCCCCAGGGATCCGCTGTTATCCAGGCAACAATTGCACCAGAAGGTAACCATACACATCCTATAAACAGAAA